CATTTGCCTCAAGGGAACAAGGGTCTGGATTATTTTTTGGCATTGCCTTTGCGAGCAAGAAAACCTTTTGTAAGTTGATGACGATTTAGGGTTGAAAAAAGGAGCATCTTGTTTGTAACACTCCGGACAAGGCTCACATCACGTCCAAGTAAGATCACTACCTGTGTCAGTAATAGCTAAAATCTAAAATGGTGGTGTACAGATTGATATATTCATGAGATATTCACCTTGATTAGTGCTGATATCTGATTGAGCTTCATTTTTTAAGATACAGCTTGGAGTGAAGTGATTGACACGAGTAAGAGATCACTACAGAGCATTAATTGTTCGTTGTGAGGTAGTTTCTAATTGGTTCTAGAAATGGGACTTTGGAGAATCAAAATGGATCAATTCAACACTAAAACCGCCATTCTGAGCATCTACAGAAGGAAGATGAGAAAGAAGTAGCAAGAGATAAAGGTTGCCAAGGCAATGGAAAAGATTGAGTGATCATTTTCAACTGCCATACTTGCAAGAAATACAGAAGAATAATTGTGGGCAATACATTACACGTAGGTTTCAACAAAGCTTATATAGAGGGAAAAAATGTTAGGGTTCAATCATGTTGTGAATGTATGAGAAACAAAGGTTACAAGATTTCCTTTTATGGCAAAAGGGTTGTGACCCCGAATACATTAACATTAAGATGAACATGCTTTAGTTGTTCCATGCACCTTTTGTTTATTCTGTTAGTCATAATTGATATTATCATTTGGCTTGAATGCTTTTCTAATTAAGTTGATCTTTGATTACAATGATGACTCTTATTTGGATTCATGAAATCTGATATTTATATTCAATACCAAATTTGATAATTGTTTCCCTTTCTATATATAATTCTTTAATCATAGCAATCTTAGCACAATTACCAAATTTTATCACTGTAATTTATTCTTTTTACTTCCATTTCACTGTAATTTTATCGCACAATTACCTTAGTCAATGTATAATTATTGGGTAATATCAATAAACACTTATTTAGCATACTTACCTAGGACAAAAAAATATAATTAACACTAGTTTGCTACCATGTTGCAATATTATGTAGATTTTAAAGTATTCACAAGTGTATGGTATTCAAATTTCAATGCTCAAATGCCATATTAACTATGTTTTAATATCGAATCAATACCATATATATAAAGGAATGAACAATATAATAATCAAGATTCATACTGTATATATAAGGGAATGAACAATGTAATAATCAAGATTCATTTAATAATTACCTAACAAATACCTAACTTAAGTCAATATTTAATTGTTAGATAATATCAATAAACACTTATATATATAAGGTACTCACTCAAAAACAAATATATAGTTAATATTAATTTTTCACTAAGTTGTGATATTATATGGATATTAAAGTTGAGTTTAAATTATAGTACAAACTTCTCTCAATCTTTCTCTATGTTTTCATATTATAATTTTTAATATATATATATATATACACACACTTTTTGGTATTAAAATTTATACTAATTTATCAATGTTAAAATTTTTTTCATTAAAAATATCGAGCTAGAAAATTTGTATATTTAAGGAATTTTCTTTTTGGCACATAGCAATAAAAATTTATTTAATGAACAAAAGGTGAAAGAGGGAGCCAAAACCTTATGTTCAAAGGAATTTAAATCAGACCAAAAGAGGAAATAAAAAAAAGTAAATAAATAGAGAAATTAGAAAGAAAGACAGAGATCTGAATAACATAGAGAATATCATTAGAAACAACAAACTTGAACGTACATGTGCTGATAACAAAGGAAATAAACTAGTGATTAACAATATGTAACATAACATCGAAAGCTACAAAGACATTGCAGAAGATGCCAAGCTAATTCTTGGAGCAATCGGTGGGCTTAAACGAGACGGTCTGCTTCTCAGTATCATAGCCAACCAAGAAATTCATCTGTGCCAAGTTACCATAGATTGCAAATTCCTGAAGAGAACTGAAGGTAAAGCACGAAACTGTGTCTGAAACCAAGACAAAGGTGTTCAATGGAGCCAACTTCACATCAGCATTAGTGAAATGAATTGTAATGTTTGGAACTGCGAAGTCAGTTGTTGCATCGTAGCATAAACTCAAACCTTGGGGACCATCAACCCTTCTTGCATTAATCTGGCTAGCCACGGCTGATTCCAATTTTGAGTAAAAATCTTCTGGTAAGAGAGTCAATGTAGTGCCTGAATCAATGATGATGTTACCGTCATCTGTTCCCAAAGAAGAACCTGTAAACTTTATTCTGTTGCTCCCAACACTGACTGCCTCCAGGGTGAGGAAGTAGAAAGTGGATGGGAATTTTTTAGTCAATGGAGTAGAAACAACCCCAGCGCCTGAAACAATAGCATCAGTGCCAAAGTTCATTTTGTTTGATTCTCCTGCGTCGGAGAGTGGCAACAAGCAGTATGAGAATTTGCCAGCTATGGAAGTCCCCATTTGCGAAATAAGTGAAACATCACCACCTCCAAGGCCAATGATGCCTGAGGTATTCTCATCGAAAGTCCCATCATTGTTGTGCCCGCATCCAATGATTGTTTTCGGAAAAGCTACGGGGCGACCCGTTGTTGAGGGTAAGGTGAGTGTATCAGCGGCAACATCACCATTTGAAAAAGAGTTATCACCATAAGTGACTGAATATCGGCAAGTGTTGTTACTAGAACAAGAGGTTCCATCAAGATTCTCACATTGGCTTGCACTGCAAGAAAAGGTTCGGTAAGTGGATGATTTGCTAGGATCAAAAAGAGGAGCGTCTTGCTGGAAACACTCTGAACAAGGCTTGCATTGAGTCCAAATAAGATCACTTCCAGTATCAGCAATAGCAACAATATTAAAAGCTGGGGTGCCGATGGATACATTCATCAGGTATTCGCCCGAATCGGCAATAAGAGCAGCGTCTACCGCCTTTGTTGAGATAGAACTCGGCTTGAGTCGATGTGCACGATCGAAGGAACGACGCAGGGCATTGGCTACGCGATTGGAGGCAGTTTCCAAGGGATTGTACAAGGGAGACTTCGGGGAGTCACGGTGGATCAACTCAACACTAAAACCACCCTTCTGAGCCTCAATAAGGCAGAAACAAGAGAGAACGAGGATGGCGAAAACAATAAAGAACATAGAGGTAGTACTGGCAGTAGCTGCCATCGTTACAAGAATGATAACTTGTAAGGAATGTTGGTATGGGTGCCTGCAGTTGTGGTCAATTTATACTATCGAAAAGAGATGGACTAAGACAAAACTAAATTAAAGATTGAAAAAATTAAGGAATAATTTATGGTAAAATGTGCAAAAGACAGTCAACTTCCCTTCATGGTACGATGAATATATACTGCCAGATACATTTTTTTTCATGTATTTCCTTTCTGGATTAAAATCTTTCTCTGTTCCTCTCCTGTAATAATAATTTTTCCATCTGTAAATGGCCCCAGATTCTCTGTTTGACTCTGCCAAATAATATTCCACAAAACCTTTAATTGCATATATAATTGAAAATTTGGTTAATTTCCATCTTTGATGCGTGAATTCCTAAATTACAATCTAACCATGAAATTAACCTTATGGGAAAGACCTTTTGACTTTGATAACTGAAAATATTTTGTGATTAATTCCCATGATTTTTAGTACGAATTTTCAGTGGCAACATGCAATGGGAACAGGGAATATATCTTCATTGCGTTCATACCTACGAAATTATGTGGCAAATAAGGGCATTAATGATGTTAAAGAAATCGAAAAATCATGCCGGTTGACAACAATTAAACGTGATTAACCTCTAAATGAGTAATTAATCTTGATGGGATTTTCTTTCTTTCTTTCTTTTGGCGAATTAATTAAAAGGAAATGCTTTGAAGATAAAAAAAAATCAGAATCCAAATACACAAAAAAGATACTTAAAACGCAAATTAAGTAGGAAACCTTAAAAGGAATCGCTTAACAAAGAGGATTGGAAGGCCGGCTTTTGGAAATTTTTGAAGAAAATCTAGAAATATAAAGACTATATTATTTTTCTTGTATATTTAATTATTTAGCTACTTTTGCTTAACATTAAGTGTAGAGAGGAGAAACCAATAAAACCTAGGAAGCATAATGTAGCTGTCTAGGGTAGGCATTGTCACTATCACAATCCATTAAGACCTTAAATGTTATAATTTAAAAAAAATTAAAATAATAATAATTTTTGTTATAAATGAAAATTACAATAATCAAACAATATATCAAATAATCCATTTACTATTAGGTTTTATTATTATTAAAAGGGTAAATTAACTCCACTTAGATTTCTTGTGATATGATATTTTTTCATATAGCACTGTAATATTTTTTTTTTGGTCACATAAAATCTTGTGTTTTATTTCTTTTTTCAAAAAAGATAATGGTGTTAAAATTTTCAATTATTTTTTTATAAAAAGACAATAAAGACCTTTCTTTTATAATTTTTTTATTTTTTTGTTTGCTTAATTAAATATGATCCAAATAAAATCAATATTAATAATGATCAGTAAAAACAATACAAACAAATACAATCGACAATTTTGTAAAGATGGTTTACTTTTCTTTTTGTTTTTGTGAACAAAAATACACATGGGCTCATTTGAGTAACAATAAAATAGAATTCTATCATCACCTAAACCCTAATTCTGCACAATTATGTTGGTAAGATTTTAAATTGTATTGATTTTATCTTTTTAAAGAACACTGGGCAAACGTTTTCTGTCTTGTCCTTCTCCTGAATGGTGTATAGCCTTAAAGCATTTCATAAATGAATGCCTGGAACAGAAAAAACAAAAGAAAATCTTCTGCAATTAGATTGAAAACTAGAATCCCATTGATCAATCAACTAAAAAAGCATAGAATTCTCATTTATTTATTACTCAAATGAGTCAATGGGTAATTTTTATCCAAAAATTTAAGTTGGAACTCCCTATGAGTTGCATTTGTTTGCATCGATCATTATTAGTTTTGATTTTATTTTGAATTGATTTGTTCGATCATCATATTGGATTTAGGGAGATCTCTCTGTAAAAAGTAGAAGGAATTTAAGCCTATATACTTCCTGGGAAGATATATTGGCTCAAAATCACCTCCTAGTATTAATTTGTTTGGCAAGTGAGAAAGTGAGAGAAAAGTCATAAAAGAAACCTAAAAAGTCTCAATTTTTTTTTTAATTAAACAAAAAAAATAAAAAAATTATAAAAAAAGGATCTTATGCCTATTTACAAAAAAAACTAACTGAAAATTTAATATTGTTACCTCTTTTACGAATAAAAGTAAAACACAGAGTTTTATGTGAGAAAAAAAATTAAAATTTTAAAAAAGTTTACCTTAATCTTAACTTTTCTTTAATATAGTTGATATTTATTTATTTGTAGGATATAAAAATGTTTTAACAATCAAAATATTTAAATAAAATCTCATTTATGTGTTAAAATATGTAACTTATTCTGTATATATAATGATTATTAATTTAGAATTGATCCAAAATTAGACTTTTACGATCCAATCTGTTGATAAGGGACATGGTGAGTAATTATTTATGACCATAAACTATCTGGAAAATGTCAATTTGTAAAAAATTTAGACTATGAACCTCTCCTTATCGTCTTAAAATCAATCCAAATCCATCAATTCAAGAAAAGTCATAAGACACTCTAAAATGGATCGATCCAAGTGAGTTTGATCTACTGCTCACTCCTATGCCAGGCTCTAAGAATTCTTGGAACTTACTGTCCAAAAAAATTGAAAAAAATAAAGAACAAAGCTATAGTAGGATTAAAGAGGAAGGACAACCCAATGATCCAAGCATTAAAGCTTACCATTTTGAAAACATTAGCATTTTCTATCACTGCAAATTTGCATTTTAACCAACAAACTGTCCATTGATTCAAGCAATCAGACTGTAAACATTACAGTTAAATCAAATTGTAGATGATGTGTATCACCTTGCTTACAAACGATTGAGCCAAGAGAGTCCAATATCACAATTTAAGAATGTCAATGCAGATTCACACCTGCAAACAACTCTTATGGATCACCAGTTGCCACTACATCTACATCAACTCGAAATCAAGTCAGATTTCATCCTTCGAACAGCCGTTATGTTTCAGATCCATAAGAACTTGCATCATATGAGGTCATATGGGGCCTGCTCCAACACCCAGGTCTTAACCCAAATCCCAAATCCAAGCTCATATCTTTAACAAAAAACAAGTATTGCTTTTTTTTTTTTTGCATGAACATACATACTCTTCAACATGAAGAGATATTCTATCAGTACTTTCTTATTGTCTAGCTACAATCATCATGAATTTACCTGCTCACCTTGCTCACGAGCAATAGAAGCTGATAGAATTCCAAGGTCACGATTTAAGAATGTCAATGCAGACTCGCACTCAGAAATAATTCTAGTCACAGGAGAGGGTTCACCAGCAATTGTTTCAGATGATCCAACAGAAAGAGCAGCATGTGAGTCTCTCAGATTCCTCAAGTTCCCCAGGAACTGCAACAGAAGCAAAGGAATTTTTAGTTTCTTAACAACCCCAGAATACATGACGGATAGTTGCAATGTTGAACAGATATGAAAATTATCAAACATTCTAGAACTGAAAGTCTGTAACTACATATCGAGTGATAGTGGGATAATCATGTCTCATTTAATTTTACATTGGCATCATTTCCAACTTGCTCTCCCTCTCCCTGGGTATGTGTGCGTACTCTCATTTATTTATGTATGTCATTATGATATTTTCTCTAGCCACATAAATTCAAACGAATCTTGCATGACATAAAGATCCTGTGCATGACAATGGTTAGGACTTATGTGCAATAAGAAAGGAATATAGCAAAATAAAATCCTAAGTCGTGCAAGCTATCTAAGCTTCCTATTGTTATCGATTATTCATCCAATTATCTTCAGAATAATTAATTTCCCCAATGCCATCAATCTCACTTTTCTAATATATGATGAATTTATGATTAGTTTTCAGTTGAAATTTTTAAAAGCTAGACCTGAATGCTAATTAATTGAAAGCAAGCAAAAATGGTTGGTATGCTGCAAATAATTGGCTCTAGCAATTCAGATAGATTTGAAAGAAAGGAGAGGTATTAGCTGAAAGACCTTTAGGTGAAAGTATTAATTTCAGGACATTAGTCCACATAAAACTACCCTGCTCTTGCATGTGTACACACACATGGGCACATATGTGTATTTATTCTCATGAAGGCAGACAATAACACTGTGTTGGCAAAATGCTCTTCCTAAACCATATAGCAACAAGAACCTGAGCATTTCACTTCATCACTGTTGTATGATCACCCGACTCAAAGAGTAGGGT